GTTTGAGGGGCTCCACGGATTGGTCCATTTGGGCCAATCCGGTCATTTGTTGTTGATTTGGGTGTTCACACGTCACAGAACCCAGGAAGCAAACAATGGAAAAAGAGAAATGTCTAACGAGGCGTTCTGGGGCAGCATAGACAGGTATTTTCTGTGTTAGAGTTTTACTCACTACAGGGTGTACTTTGAGGATTTGTGACTCAGCAGACCGTTTACATGCAGAAAAACCTTCATAACACACAAGGGGACGGGTAATAACCGGAAAAGCATGACATGGGACCTTTAAAATACAATTATGAACCTGAAACTTAGCATAATAGGATCTCCTTAAAGCTTCAGTATTTGTATGAAAACTTGCTATATGAATGTTTATAAGGAAACCTAATGCCTTTACAACTTGACCTATTTCATGAAGACATTTACCAAATGAGTCTGAAAATAATCTTACTTTGTTGTCTGACACAATACATGCAGATAAGTACACCTACAATGGATCCATAGACTATGGTTGTGTGTTTAAATCCCCTGAAAGCAGTCGAGGTTGGTTTTACACCACGTGGATTTAGGAAGCCAGCGCCTCACTCACTTTTACTAAAGGTTACTAACACTCTGTGACCTGGCTGATGTGAAGGGGGTCACAGGGTGAACTCGGGCAGTGTCTGTTCACATGAATGATTTACACCATCCTGACGTTTTAGGAGAAAAACAAAGCGTGTGTGGCCTGCGGAATATAGTTCAGTCAACATTTCATATATAGACAAACACTTCAATTAAATAAAACACAGGACAGTATGGGAATGGAGAAAGACATTTATTGTTTTTTGTATAATGATGACACATTGAAGTTATATACTGTATTGTATGTGGAAGCAACCACTCAGAAAATACATCATAATTTGTTTACAGATCTGTTTACCTAGTTTAAAATAAATACTGATTTTAAAGCAATATATACACATGTATCTCAAATATCGTTTCTCAATGAAACAAACATCACAATCTCACTCTACTGTACATCACGTTGAGATTTAGATTTAATTATATTGATCAAAATAACTCTATTCACTGGTATTTCTTAATACAGCTCTGCACACATTGAGAATAATTATCCTACATTACGTTATTAGTCCGTCTCTCTAACTGGGAATGAAGTTGTGTTTTTGGGTGAATGCCATTTGGTCTTTGAACGCATCTTATATACTGTGGGTGTGGTAGATACCAGTTAACAGTGATACAAGCAGTGATGAATGGAAAGTCAGCACAAAACAATAACATCATAAAATAAACCCTATGGATAAAACCAGATAACACGGGGTATACTGTATGTAGTGTCAAAAATAACATTTTGTTTATTTCATGGCGGCTGATTTTGTATTGCTTTCTCCTGGCTGTGTTTTTTTAATGTAACATTTGATCTGAACACATATACAAATAGAATAATTGTACGTTCAGTTATTCGCTTAGATGTAATGAACCATGCCTTTGAACACTTGAGTCTTGTCTGATCGAGCATCATTGTTATACAGAAGTGTTTTAAAAAGTAAGATTTAAGTTGAAAAGAATGTGTTCAGGAAGTACTGAGCATACAACCGGATGATTGAGACTTTGTAAACTGATTTTTTAATATAGTTTTTCTAGTTGTTGAACATGGCCCCCATTTACTAGTTTGTTTTGTATTCTTTGTTCACCATGGAAGAAACACACAATTTGCTTTACAAATGCAAGGTTCAACACAGGGGGAGGTTTTGATATACAAACGATAATTGTTCTATAGTCTAGTTTCTAAAGGATGTCACACATTTGTCCGACCATATATTGATACACTTGTAGTGTATATCGATTCATCAATTTAGGAAAATTCCACTGCAGCTTAAATAAATACTGACACCAAATAAAGAAATGAAATGATCTTTAACTACCAACCTTAACTGAGCCTGAGAGTTGAATGAATTTAGACTATTGGCAGATGTTTAAAACTCTGTAACAAGAAGATCCAGTAAGTGGGTTAGAGTAAGTCAGAGGAAGGAGAGCAGAGCTTTTAGCTTAAACTGATCCACACACGTGATCCAAGAACCCACATGAAGTCTGGAATGCGTCTCATCAGTCCGTACTGTGAAGAGAAACAGCAGAGAGAAACATATCTTATGTTCCAGATCATATTATCAGTGTTACTGTCTGAGTTACTTCTGACGATAACATATATAATACATTCAAATGGAAAAAAAACTAAATAGAGAAAAATGTAAGAATTGAACTACAAAAAATATATCTGAATTATTTAAATTGTTCTATTGTACTTCTAGGAATATGAATACAACATATCTAAAACATATTCAAAGTTCATTCAGATGCTTTGCACACATTTGATTGGATTTGTTCTCTAGTCTTCATTTATGTAGAATTGCATTAACATTACAAAGCAGATTCCTTCAATGTGAACACCCTTCGTGACTTATGTAGTCCTGACCTGCAGAGTGTGAGGCCAGTATCCGGTGGTCCTGTTGGAGACCCCCAGGGTGGAGATGGCGTGGCGGGCGTAAACCTCCGGCTGTGGTTCAAACCAGTTGAGTCTTGATGATGGTGATGACGAGGATGGTGGTTGCTCACTTATCTGGTAACACATATACAGACTGGTTATCAAACACTGAGAGAATAATGTATACTTACTTGGTAAAAATCCAAAGAATCCAATTCATGTTACGCTTGTGATTAAATGATTATTTCCTGACCTAATTAATTAATTGATTAATTGTTTGGTCTATAAAAATTAATTGTGTGGTGTCTCAAACAAATCCAAAGATATTAAAGGTGGGGTAGGTCATTTAGGAGAAACCAGCTTGAGTGCGCTAGAATTTGAAAATACACAGCCGGAAAAACTCTGCCACTTCCTTACAGAGCCCCTCCTCCAACACACACGAACGCTCACATGACCAATGAGGGCACGAGATAAGTTTGTGCACAGATGGAAGGCTGACAGGCAGGTAGGCCATCCAGTTACTTTAGCCGGGCCGGCTCAGATGATTGGTCGTGCTTTTTACAGCGTCACGGCTTCCACAGATGAAATGTTTTTATGGATTTTTTGTCAAAGCACTTCAGATATTCATTGCTATCGGGATGTTAAGAGCATTCCATGGAATATAACAAAAAGTGTATCTCGAGCCGGTTTCTCAAACTTACCTACCCCACCTTTAAGTTTAACATGATATAAAATTGAGAAAAAATTTGATGCAGCTAAAAAAAACCTGCGTTGGTAAAAACACCAATTATTTTTGATACATTACTTTGGAAAAATATAAAACAAACACTATTTTTTACAAGCCAAAACTCTCAAATGTTAAATGTTGTCTAAATATAAACAGAAACGTGCATTTGAAACTAGCTTCACTAGCTTTACACACTTTGGTTGGCACCTTAAATGTATTTAAGTACAGCAAGCAGGCCTGCTTGTAATCAACATATAAGGCATCTACCTGGAAAGGAATCAGACTTTGGACAAAGATCCCCTTGCCGCTGTACTCGAGGTGAAGAGCTCTTGACAAATGATCCATATAGCCCTGAAATGTTGAGAGAAAATAATAAATAAAATATTGGGAATGTACTTTTAGAAAGGGGTATTACATGTGTATTTATAAAGCAGATATTCTCAGTGTTTTTCTTACAGCAAATGCAGTTAGTGTCACCCTCCCAGGCAGAGGTTTGCAGCAGGCTCCCGATGATATGTTGACCACGGCTCCTTTGCGGCGCTCCAGCATCCCGGGCAGCACCAACCGCGCCATCAGAGTCGCCACCGCTACATTTTTATTCACCAGATCCAACAGGCCCTGCTCATGCATTTCTATCAGGCTCTGAGGGGAATCCAAAGACTCCATGCAGTTCACCAGGAAGCCGATCTCTCTGCCCTTCATGGCCTCTTTGATGGTATTGCTGGCCGCTTGGTTCAAAGAGAAGTCAGCGAGGAGCACAACAGTTTCCACTCCGTAGCTTTGGGAGAGTAAAGCAGCGATGTCTCTCACAGAGGCCTCGCTCTGAGTGACAAAGATGATGCTGACGCCATGTCGGGCCAGCTCCTCTGCGTAGGCTTTGGCCACCGGCTCGGATGCACCTGAGAGGAGAGAGCACGATATCTATCATTGAATACATGAGAAGAAGAAATTAGGATATATAACTGAGAGCTATTGAGCAGTAACTTCACTTTGGGCTCTAAAAATACAATACAGCTCACTTTGTAACTGAAATGATAAGATGATTAGTATATTGCCAAGACATTAACAAACAACAATCTCAATTCATTTGATACATTAGCACTTTTCATGGCGATTAATATCTTTTGATTCAAGCTTTTCAAGTGTTACCTAAAATGTGCTGCTTTTCTCATTTTTATATAATAAAAAAACAAGCAATTTGAAAATGTCATCATAATTTGCAATGTTCTCTTTTTGTCCATATTTTTGTTAGAGCAAATCAGTACCTGATAAGTCAATAATGAATATGATTATTTGCAGCCATAATTAGCTGTGGTGTTGTCAACAAATATCGAATCTAAGAAGCTTCAACTTTATTTTATGCTTCATCAAATTAAAAGGATTTAACTGAAGGGCTTCTAAAATAAAATGCATGAAACTGACTCTCCTCTCCTCTCTGTCACACACATCTAAATAATCATGCACTCTGTTTCTGCAGCCTTACCATACACGATGGCCCATTCTCCAAACCTTTGGCTCAGCTTCTTCTTATTGGGGATTATTCTGGGCAGAAAATGCACCCTGACCAAAGAGCAGCATTCTCTGAGCAGGATTACTGCCCTGCTGGCCGTGTAAATAGCACCGACCAGGGCCAGGGTTTCAAAGTAAGGATTGCATGATCGAGACATTTCTCTATAAAAAAGCTGAAAGCTGTCAACTGACGCCATAATCCACACTGTTGATGCTGATGCTAGCTTGCTATAGCTAAAGCTTAAACAGCAGATTTAGCTTTGAGATTCCTAACCGTAAAGTAAACTAGTCAGTCAGGCGTGTGAACAAAAACGTTTCCTTGTTACGGCATATTAAATAAATGATAACAAATGAAGGTTTAGCAGAGTTTCAGCCGGTTTTAGCAGGCAGAGATGTCTCCACGCAGCACCATGTCAAAAGAGCAAAACATTGAGCCATGTGACGTAGGTAGTGGTGCTGCATTTAAGACCACTAGAGAAAAACCGACAGAAATATTTCGGAAGAATACAGAGGTATAACAGCCATATTAACACTGCAGTTTCTGGATAATAAACAATTGTCCATGAAAAAATAATGTTGACATTTCAAGAAGGATTTTAAGGGAATATAAAGTCCGTGTTTCTCTTTTTTTGGTCCCAATGCTTGCCTAGTTGTTTACAAATGATCGATTATTTATACGTCTCTTAAGAGAATTTAAAATAAATGATTACATTTCAAATATATATTGCATTACATTTTATTCTTTCGACATCTTGTATTTTCAAGGATGCTTTATCTGAAACGTCGCATATCTCATCTATGAAACCCATATTTCCAACGCTCAAAAAGGTAGCGCACAGTTTCTTCTGACATCCCACAATGCACCACCGTTTCCATAGAGACGCAGCACTCTGTGGCAAATTCTCCCAAAATGCTACCTGGATGAAACAGTTTTACAAGTTCATAAACAAGGTAAACCGGTTTAAAATATCCTTCATATGATGTCTTCATGTTCGGATGTTCAGTTTGTGCAGCAGCGACATTTTTGTTTTTTGGACAGCGATGCTTTCAGTTACAATTCTGCAGTGTTGTCTTTAGCTAGCTGTGTTACAGTGGTGCATTTAGCATCTTAAAGCTAACCAGAGAGAATACATTATACTTGTGTAGTGTTTGGCTCTACATTTAATATCACATACTTTAGTTTGGGTGCACATCATAGACAAATTAATTCTGGCTGCTATATTTGTATTTGTGTATTGTGGCGTGCAAACAGCTATCTAGTGACAATGAAAACACATTATTTAAACTATCTGGACCAGTCAGTGATGACAGTGATACACCTGTCAGTGATGACCTGATTGACACTTGTTTCTGAAAAATGCATGACCCATAACATATGAGCATTTTACCCCTGTGTGCTGAGCATTGAAACGGACTCCTTTTTATTTAGATAGCATATTTCATACCCAAATACATCAACTTTCATACCTAACACAACTCAAATGGCTTACACAAGTAAAAGCACAAGAAAACAAATGATAACATCAATTTAGAAAAAGTACATTTTCGTTTGGAAAGGACCTTTACTATGGTTATGCACATTTAATTATTTTACTAATCTTCGGTTGAGTGGTTTCCCCTCTATCTATGCATCTTATTTACAGGTAGTTAAACAGTAATATATATCTTTAAAGAAAACTAACTCAAATACTTTCCTCCTTTCCTCCTGTCTGCCAAACCCTGGGTAGCAATACACAGAGAACTGGCTCTTCACCCTCATACATTTTCCCATTGAGGGCCGATGCAACCAATCACTCTACTCTGTCCCTTGAAGGAGCAACAGTAGAGATGTCTCAGCTGTCTGCTGAAGACGAAGCAGAGCTGCAGTCCCTGCTGAAGCAGCTTCTGAGAAGCATCAACGACAGGATCTCTGGAGCTCCGTCCACCGAATGTGCTGAAGAGATCCTCCTCCACCTGGAAGAGACTGACAAGAACTTCCACAAGTAAGGCCACAAGAGTCAGATAGTATAGAATATTCTTTATGGTCAGATTTAAAAGTAATTTATGCTATTTCAATTTGAACAGTAGCTCTGACTCTGTTATTATTCTTCTTCAGTTATGAGTTAGTCAAGTATCTCCGTCAGTATGTGGAGAGCTCTCTGGGGACTGTGGTGGAACAAGAGACCAATTACCTGACCAGAGGAGATGGACAACATGCAATAGGCTCAGGTCACGACACCCTGATTCATGCTATCACCCGGAAGAGCAGAGACTCAGCAGAGTGAGTGGCGCTGAGTCTCTGAGCTTTGTTTCCTGTCTCCTCTCATTCTGATCATGACGTATTCATTGTCAGTTTATAAGTCATTACTTTTTTTAATTTGTGGCAGGTACCAGCAGATGATGCAGACTCTAAAAAACACCATGATCATGGTGGTGGAGTCTTTAATCAACAAATTTGAGGAGGACCAGATGAGGAAGGAGGAGATGCACAGAGAGCAGCAGCACAGCCAGGCCAACAGCCAGTACACCGACAACTGCTCCGACAGCGACTCCTCCTTCAACCAGGTCAGACGGAGCACATGCCAATTCAATTTATTTATTGCCTTTTTTATTACTGAATGATTCATATAAAGGCAAGGCAAGGCAATTGAAAGTGCTTTAAAAAAATGAAAGACATTAAGAAAATGGCATTTAAAAACATTCATTAAAAAGCAAAGATAATAAAATAAACATTAAAAGAAAAAATACATGAATAAAAGTTACAGTGCAGTTTAAGATATGAATAGTTCAATTAAAAGCAGCGGCAAAAAGAAAAGTCTTCAGCCAATATAAAGTGCCAATATTGCATCATACCTCTTATTATTTTACTTTATGATGGATTATAATTGCTTTGTGCTTTGTCTCCATTCTCCTCTCTAGAGTTATGCTTTCATCAGACAAGAGCAGCTTCAAGTTTTGGCTGAACAACTTGACTCCAGCCGACCAAAAGAGGTACAAAGGCCTGCTTACACAAATACACTACAGGCGCTTTCACACCGGAGTACTTTTCCCTTTTAGTTCCGATAGTTCCTGGGATTTTGCATTCACACCAAAAAGAGAACTTAGTTCATGAGAAATGTTCCCCCCTTTTTAGTGCCTGCTAGAGAGGTGGTACTTTCCTGGGGAGAAAAAAGTTCCAATTTCTGATTGGCTGGGCGAATTGCAAACCACGCCCCGTAAAACTCTGAAAAGTTTTGTGAAGCCGCCATCGTATTTGCTGGCATTAGCATTATTAGCATTAGCTCAGCACACCAACGGAGAGAGAATAACTTATGGCAACACAAAAGATGCTGAGCTAATGCTAATAATGCTAATGCCAGCAAATACGATGGCGGCTTCACAAAACTTTNAACAAAGTGCTTTATAAATATTGTGTATTATTGTTATTTATATTCACATTTCTACACTTTATGGCTTGTGACCACTCCGAACAAAGTCAAGTTTCTTTATCATAACCGGTTGCTTATGTCTACACCTCTAATAATTCAGACTTCTCAATTCAAACTTTTCTTATTCAAGTCTGCTTTTTTCATTTTTAGATGCCTGAAGAAGTATATTATTTTGTATTTTCAGTAGATCATTTGAAAACACCAGCGGAAACTCAGAAAATACGATATAACAATAAACCAAATTTCCCGCAAATCAATTTTTTAACCACTTGTTTAGATCCAACCCCCGCGTTTCAAATGAATCTATTGCCAAACACGACTCAAGGTTACTTACAAAAAACATGCAACAGCACTTTATCATAGACCGTTTTCACACCAAGTACTTAGTTCCCAGCCGTACTTAGTTCCCAGCCGTACTTAGTTCCCAGCCGTACTTAGTTCCCAGCGTACTTAGTTCCCAGCGTACTTAGTTCCCAGCCGTACTTAGTTCCCAGCCTAACTTAGTTCCCAGCCGTACTTAGTTCCCAGCCGTACTTAGTTCCCAGCCTAACTTAGTTCCCAGCCGTACTTAGTTCCCAGCACTTAGTTCCCAGCCGTACTTAGTTCCCAGCCGTACTTAGTTCCCAGCACTTAGTTCCCGCATGGTTCACACCGGAATAAGTCCCTGAGGGAAGATTACTTAAATGAAGCCGCTGAAGTCACTTCTTCTTCTGCTGCTTTGGGTTTACTGGCAGGCCGCAAACAACTTCACGGCGTATACTGCCACCCGAAGTCCCCGGCCGGAAGTCCCCCAGCAGCTTCTACTGAAGGCTTCCGAGTAAATCGCCAGAACGCCGACAACTCCTCATCTCCACCGCTCCCATGTTTTATTTTGTGTTGCCATAAGTTAGTCTCTCTCCGTTGGTGCGCGGGGCTAATGCTAATAATGC